TTCAAGGTCAACCTGGTCTACAAGGGCAAGTTCCAGGACAGCTAAGCTACACAGAGAAACCCTGTCTTGAAAACAAACAAACAAACAAACAAACAAACAAACAAAAAAGAGTAATAGATTTTCCGTACCCTGATAATAGGTTTCTCCACCGACTCAGTAAGCCAGACAAAGCTGAATTAAAAAAGTAAAAGACCAGGTTTATTGTGAACAAAGCAACTACTGGGTGACTCCTCCAGTCCCCAGAGATTGAGGTGGGAGAAGGCAAGAAGAAGGGTTCGGGGAAGAAATGAGTGTGGAATGAGTTGTAATGTCAGGCACGGGGAGCACGTTCGCCAGGAACATAGACTTTCCTCTACGGGGCCTTTCCTATTGTGGAGGAAGGCCTTGCAGAGCAAACCCAGCTCAGTGTTGGAGACTGACCCTCCCCTGGTAGCCCAGTTAAGTGCCGTGGTAACTGATTTTTATGCTTTCTTCTTCAAGTGTGGTCCTTGGTGCACGCGGTTAATTATAAGTCAAGAAGAAACAGAGTACACTGCCCTAAATGGGGTATCTCCATCAAATCCCTCCCCTCGGGCTTCAGGAAGCACTGTGGAAGAGGAGGTGGAAAGAGCGTAAGAGCCAGAGGGGATGGAGGACACCAAGAAAACAAGGCCTTCTAAATCAGCAAGATACACATCCGAACTCAAAGAGGCTGAGCAGCAGGCACCGGGCCTCACGGGTCTGTGCCAGATGGGGTGCTAGAGTCGAGAGGAGAAGTGGACACATGTCCTAGTGCCTCACTCAGGAGCATCTCCAACTGATAACCACTTGCAAACAAAAAATCTAGTTTTCTTCAAGGGAACCTCATTGGAGGAACAAACAACACTTAAGGGCAGGACCCGTGCCCAGTAGTAGAGGGCCAATAGAAAAGTATTCAATGGCATCTTTAGAAGTTTTGTCTCTCATAATGAAAGGTCAAGGCTTTTCCTTTCCTTTTATTTTATGTTATCTTAGTATCTATATCTATATATTTCTCTCTCTCTTTCACCCTACAGGTCCTCTGCATGTATACTATGGCTTCCAGTTTAGTGTTTTTATGGGATTCCTGAGTATGCAAACCAGTGAGTCTCTGCCTCTATATCTGTTTCTTGTGCCTTTTCCCGAGTTCTTTTCCTGTGTTTGGTTTTTCCTATTCCAATATGTCGGGTTTTGTTTTATCTTATTTTATTCTATTATTATCCCTTAGAAGCCTGTTTTCTAATAAGAGACAGAAAATGGGTAGGGAGGGGAGGGGGGATGATTAAAGGGAGGGAAACCATAATCAGGTTACATTCTATGAGTCAAAAAAAACCAAATCTATTTTCATTAAAAGGAAAAAGAAAGAAGAAACCGAGTGTAAGTTAATGTTAATCTCCAAATAGCCTAGTACACCCTGTTGTTTGACAGAAATTACACAAGTTTTCAAGTGGCCTCTGAGATTGGTTCAGTCCTTTATTTAGTAACAGTTTAGTTGGAAAAAGATTTGAAATTCTCAAAGAATTTACTAGAATGTACAATGTGTGCCTTTCCTTCATGCATATTTCCACATGAGTGAATGAATAAGATTCCTCAACGCTGAAATTGCTTGTGGGTGTTGATGCCAAATTATACAGTGTCTTCTGGTACCAAGTGGGCTTCTGATGGTTGGGGGGAGAATGAAAATCCATTACTTAGATAATGTGAGTGGCTTGTTAATGTCAGGAGTTTTTAATGTGTGATGATTACTCTCCATTGTCAACTTGCCTAGATCAAGAATCACTATGGAGCCGGGCGGTGGTGGCACACGCCTTTAATCCCAGCACTCGGGAGGCAGAAGCAGGCGGATCTCTGTGAGTTCGAGGCCGGGCTGGACCGATAGCCTCCGAAACAATACAGAGAAACCCTGTCTCGTAAAAACCAAAAAAAAAAAAAAAAAAAAAAGAATCACTATGGAAACATATCTCTGGGTATATTGATGAGGGTGGTTTTAGGAAAGTCTGTCTGAGTGGGGAGGAGCCATCCTCAGTGTGGCCTGCCCCAGCCAGTAGCCTGAGGTATAAGACTGAATAAAAAGGAAAATGAGTGAGCGTCAGAGTCTAACCGCTCTCACTCCCATGGCCATGCCTCTCTACCATGACAGACTGTATCCCCTCAGACAGTCAAAATAAATCCTTTGTCGGGGTTGGAGACATGACTCGGCAGTTAAGAGCACCGGCTGCTCTTCCAGAGGACCCTGGCTCAGTTCTCAGCACCCACACGGCAGCTCACAGCTGTCTGTAGCTCCAGTTCCAGGGGATCCTATAAGCTCACACAGATATACATGCAAGCAAAGCACCAGCACGTCTAAAACTAAGTTAATTAATTAAAGCAAAAATAAATCCTTCATCGAGGTGCTTTTGGTGAGTTGTCTTGTCACAGTGACGAGGAAATGTCACCAGTGTACTGTTAAAGTGTAGAGGGAATCCTTTGTTGGATATAAGTGAAGGTGCACCTGCCTACATGGCGACAGAGTGCTGTCACGGGCCTCACCTTGTTTGCCTCTGTGAGCCCTGTGCTCTCTTGACCTTCACCCATCGCTCCCTCCTGCGGGGGTTCATGTTGCTTCCCGTGCCCATGGCACCCTTTCGTGAGTCCCACTCTCTTTAAAGCCAACCCCGTGTATAAGAAGCCGTCCGCTCCAGCTCAGTACTTTCACTCCCCGCCCCCAGTGTTTGAACACGGAGTGTTCCTCCACCTCCACTGCAAGGAAAGCAGTGAAGGGAAGCCAGGGGAAATCATTACACAGTGTTGTCAGCCACCTCCTGACCTTGGCAGATGGAGGGACACTCGTGTAAACTTGGGAGATGGTGAGGGATCAGGGATCGGGCATCAGTCAACACCATGAAAACTTGCCTATCAAGTCCGTTTTCAAAGATTTGCTGTCCTAAACACTTCCTGTGAGGAATTACTCTGTTCTTGCCCTCTGTGTTGAAAAGTCACCCGGGCATGGCCCATGGCAAGGTGGAGCAAGGGTTATCACTGAAGAAAGGAATTTATTAGGTTTATGAGGGAACATAGTGTTCACCCTCACCTTTTTAGAAACATCTAGCTTCCTCTTTGCCTCTGTCTGTCAGCCTGCACTTTCCCAGAGAGTTACAATTTGGGATTTTTCGTGAAGTCCATTCTCAATTGTCTATATGTAGCATGTCCATCTATGAGATGTTTGGTTGCCCTGCCATACAGCATCTAATTTGGGGAATTAAACTATTTTCTTTAAAGAGGATTCTGAACAGGACTCATGTTTGCCAGAGAAGCCCAGAACCCATGCAATAAGCCAGGCTTTGTGGCACATTCTTGTGATACCAGTGCTGGGGTATGTGTGTGGGAGGCAGGTGAATCTGTGGGGCTCACCAGCCAGCTTCCAGGCCAGTAGAAGACCATGTCTCACAAAGTAAATTAGGGACTAGCAAGATGACTCAGCCTGATGACCTGAGTTCAACCCCCTGAGCATACATTGGAAGAAAAGAACTGACTTCTACAGGCGGTCCTCTGATATGACGCATGTACTGTGGGCATGTATGTGGGTACACACACAGAGACACAAATGAAAAATAAAATAAAATAAAAACACAAACCACAGACATTAAAAAGATAGAACAGTCAGAACTTTTTTTTTCAGTTTTGTACTATTGCAATTTTTTGTCTTAATCAGCACATAAATTAGTGCCCAGGTAAGCAATTAGCCATATGGTGAGTTACTATGTACTGATAAGAAAAAAGACTAGTATCATGTGAAACCTCAGAGGATGCTCAACATATGAAACAAATGTCCAAATGATGATTTTTGTCCAAAAAATAAGATATAAGGATGTTTGCTTGGTTTTGCTTACTTGTATGGGAGGTAGCCCTCGGGGGGTCCTTGGGTCGGCAAAGGTTGGAATGTTGTTCCATCAGCTCACCTCCAGACTCCAGGAGCCGAAGCATCCTTGCTCCAGCTGCTGGAATCATAGTTGGCAAAAGGTTTTCAGCTGACAGCCCTTGGGGACAAGAATTCCTCACTGGAGTTCACTATAACTTCCTACAGTCATCAGGAGTGGGCCGTATTGATGGTGTGAAAGCCAGCCCAGGGCTGGATTGGAAACACTTCCCAAGTGCCCAAGCCTCTTCATTAAAAAAAATTCATTGTATTTATTCATTGTGGGGGAGTGGGCATGCTCATAGCACAGTGAGCCATGGAGAGCCAACCACGACTTAAGATAGTTGTCTGTTTTCTTCTTCCTTCACATGAGTTCCAGGGAGATAGTGTTTAGGGAGATGGCTTAGCAGGTTAGGGTCCCTGCCTCCAAGCTGGATGACCTGACTCAAGTCTTTTTCCTCACTCCATAGGTTCTGACCCAAGAACACTCCTATTGAGTCTATTTTTTATTAACCCTCAACTTCCTGGGGAGTCTCAGGAATAAGAAGCCAGGAGGCTAAAATCAGTGGTTTCTTATGATTGGGAAAAGAAGGGAGCCTGATGAAGGAGGTCAAGATTGGGAAAGGCATTTCATGATCTGCCCTTTAATAATTAAAAGATGTTTACCAGTGATTGCATGACTTATACAAATTATAAATGAAATGTGAACTTAATAATGGCAGATTTTGTAATACATATCATTCATATATACATCTAGATAGTCTTATTGAATTTAGGATAAGATATTTAATTTTCATTTTAAGGATTTGTTTTACTTTTAATTATTTGTGTGTGTGTGTGTGTGTGTGTGTGTGTGTGTGTGTGTGTGTGATACACGACTGCAGTGCCTGCAGAGTCCAGAAGATGGCGATAGATCTCCTAAAGATGTAAAAGTTACCAGGAGTTGTGAGCCTCTCAACATGACCAAACTTGGGTCTTCTGCAAAAACAGAAAGTGCTTCCTTTTAACTGCTGACCCATCTCTCCATCCCAGGTAGAGGTATTTCAATCTCAAGCCCTGTGCCCATCACATTCTAAATGTTCTTTTCTCTTTTCTGGTTGTTTTTTAGTACCTACAGAGAGAACCCTCGCTGATTTCATCTCACAATGGAGTTTCAGAAGTCCCCTGATGGCGGGTGGGGCTGGGTGATTGTGGTCGCCTCCTTCTTCACTCAGTTCCTCTGTTACGGATCTCCGTTAGCTGTTGGGGTCCTGTACATAGAATGGTTGGATGCCTTTGGTGAAGGAAAAGGAAAAACAGCCTGGGTGGGATCCCTGGCAAGTGGAGTCGGCTTACTTGCAAGTAAGTGGATATGTTTGTACATTTTCTTACTCTTTAATCACTGAATTACATTTGCTGTGTCAGTAACATTGCATGCGGCATGGAAGGGCTTTTACACATTTGAAGCTTAATGGGTATTTTCCTGCTTGTTGTTGAGATTTAGTGCCATCCCTTCTCTGTAATGAATCTGTGCCAAGTACAGGAATTCCACACACTCACAGCTCATCATCAGTTTCCTCGCTAAAGTGACAGGCAGCATACTAGATGATGGAAATGAAAAGATGAGAGCCTAGAGAGATGGTTCTTTGCAAGAGACCACAGCACCCACAGCAGGCATCTCACAACCACTTGCTCCAATGGATCAGACACCCCCTTCTGGCCTCTGTGGCACCCTCATAGACATGTGAACACACACACACACACACACACACACACAGAGCAAGGGGGGGGAGAGACAGAGGGAGAGAGAGATACACATAATGAAATAAAATAAAATCTTAAGAAATGATAGGTTGATCTGCAAACACAGGTTTCCTGCCTCTAAGAGGCTCACGGGGCACAGGAGCTGGGAAGACAGCTCAGTTATAAAGTGTATGGAGTCCAGTTTGATCCCCAGTACTTTGTAGGAGAGCTGGATGTTTTAGGGCATGGTTATAATCCCAGAGCTGGGGAGGTAGAGACAAGTGGATTCCTGGGGCTCACTGGCCAGTCAGCCTAGCTTAGCTTGGATAAGCTCCAGATCCATTAGACACTGTCTTGAAAAACAAGGGAGACTTAACATCCAAGAACAAGAACAATAGTGTTGTCTTCTGACTTACACACACACACACACACACACACACACACACAGAGAGAGCTCACCATCTAACAAGGAATACATATACTCCCATGGATATAATAATTCAGAGGATATATGCATGCAGTGTGCTGGCACAGTCACAGTATGTGACTGATCTCCACATCTGCCAAGCTCTCACTTGTTTTGGGTTCAGCACTAGGTTCAGTTCACATGTCCATCAACTACAGCAACCTCCTCCGAAAAATATCCCACAACAAGGACAGTCATATCTCAAGTGGTGATTTCTTTAGGCTTTTCACGGGGGTTATACAAAGATCTATTTTGGTAAACAGTAGATTGCAGTATAATGGTGATTTCTGTGCTTAAGGCAAACAGGAAAGGATTTTTTAAAATTATCCTTTTGACCATAAATATTATATACAATTTCAGTGTCTGGAGTCACAGTTTGAATTCTGCAGTAATTCTTAATGACTATCTTTCTACCTTATCTGGCACTATTTAAGCACCAAATGGGCTGAGACAGGCATAGGTAGATGGGTACCCCTGGAGTCTCTTCTTGTGTGTAAGACAGGCATGAGTAGGATAGGTACCCCTGAAGCTTACCTGTGTACTATGAACTTACCATGATTCCAGGAATAAAACCCAATCTCCAAACTGTGGAGAAACAAGGAAGATTGTCTGCTTAAAACAAGCCTGTATTAGTCATCTTTCTTTTTTTTTTTTAAATATGTCTGTCTTTTGGCTATTGAGGGGGTTGCTGTGGAGAAAAAAAAGCAATAACATCCAGTTGTTAAATCTAAAACAAGATACATATCCATGGGGAAAAGCCTGCAGGCACCTCTGGTCTTCTAAGATAACTAAACATGACTAAACAAATGAAGAAAAATGTGATGTTCCAGAATGAGGAGAAACAGGAAATTTGCTCAGGATTTGTTTGAAAGAGTTTCTTTTTAAATAAGGGTTACAAGGCTGGAGAGATGGCTCAGTGGTTAAGAGCATGTGTTGTTCTTGTGGAGGACTCAGATTTACTTCCTAACTGTATCAGGTGGCTCACAACTGCCTGTAACAGTATTTCCAGGGGATCCAATGTCCTCTGGGATCCACGGGCACCTGCACACACATAGTGCACATACATATACTCAGGCACACACACATACATGTACAATTGTAAAATTTAAAAGGGACTGCTTGTAAAATTGTCACACTATTAACTGATACATTCAGAGAGAGATTTCAACATATGGCCTTCTAGAAAACAACCTGGTATGGAGAGGAAATTTTACAGTGTTTTCTTATGTTTCACCATTTCTATTAGCAAATTACTAAACAGAACTGTAATTATTGGGGCTTCCAGAAAAGAGTCAAAGGCAATTCCAGCAACATTTCCCTTAGCGCATGGTAGGAAGACCAGGATTGTTTCGGAGTTGGTTCATGAGGCAGAAGAGAGTTAATGGCGTCTGGGATGTAGAATGTGTGCATTGGTGTAAAAGTTGAAGTTGATGGCAGCTGGGATGTGGAATGTGGACACTGGTGCAGAAATTGAAATTGGTCTTCCTGAGAATCTGTCCCGTAACTCTACAACATCTCCATGTCCCTAGGCCAACATCTCCATGTCCCTAGGCCAACATCTCCATGTCCCTAGGCCAACATCTCCATGTCCCTGGGTCAACATTTCCATGTTCCTAGGTCAACATTTCCATGTTCCTAGGTCAACATTTCCATGTCCCTAGGTTAACATCTTCGTGTCCCTAGGTCAACATCCCCATGTTCCTAGGTCAGCATCCCCGTGTTCCTAGGTCAACATCTCCATATCCAAGGTCCAGGGTCAGTCATCTTCATTTTAAATAGGACTGTCTACATAATTTATAAACCCCAGAGCAATATGAAAAAAATGGAATCCTTGCTCAAGTATTATTAAGAATTTCATGACAATAACAGCAGATCTTGGCCCTAGAAGCTGGCCACTGTCTAGTCTAAGAAGCTAGCGTGGCTCAGAAGACAGAGAGAGATGGATGTGGGTGGGATGCAGGGAGAAGGTGGAATTCTAAAGGGCAGTTTGGAGAGTTTGTTACCCAGAGCTAAGATAAGTAATTCATCTTAGTGTTTCCTCTTTGGAGCCAGGGGTAGCTTTGATATAGAATCAAGTCAGTCCTCTACTGTTAACCCGCTCTGGAGTCACCCAGAGCCCAACTGCCTCATGCCCTCCCTACCTTCCTGATCCAGTCCTTCAGGTCTAGTTTTCTGAGATGTTGGGCCTGCCCTTCCAAGTCTCTTAAGATGCTTAGGAATGCCAAGCATTCTGGCTGGGTTTTGAATGTTGCCTTTGATAATCTGTCACAGCTCACATCTTACTAGAGCAACACAGAGAAGGAAGAGGCAGGCTAGGCAGCTCCTTTGGAAAAAGGATAGCTCCTAATATATATATTTGGGGATTAGCTATCTGATCCCATCTTTAATTTCTCTTTTAAATGTATGTTATTTCTCAAGCATGAACTCATTTAAAGATAGACAGAAACTGTTATAAACTTCATTTTGAACAGGCAAATCTTTGGCTACCAGCTTTGCTGTCTGCAGAAACGAGTTGCATTTCACAGTGCATCCAGGAAATACCAAGTGTATCTGGGAATCACTTGGTTGGTGTGAACTCATTTTCTCACACATCTCTCAAACCTCCTCTGATGTTCTCAAGAACACCAATAACAAATTAGCTCGTTAATCTCTGAGTATAAGTCGACAGGCTGCTATTGAATATCCTTCTGATAACATAAATGTAAGGGACTATTAAAGTGAATATATTCTAAATGAGGCAGCTCCAACTTGCCAGCTTTTTTGAGAAATGAACTTTCACTTTCTTCAAGCAAAAAAAAATTCTAAAATATGTGGAATTTGAAACATTAACAAAACCAGGAAGAGAAGCAGTACTCATAGGGGCTTGGGGTGAAGTCAAGAGTCTTCTAACTCAAGTCCTGGCTCAGACACCGCTTAGTCAAGTCATTCACCTTCTCGGGACCTGACACCAGCCACTGGACAAGGAGGTGACCGGACTTAGAGCTCAAAGCTATTGAGGCTGAGCATAGAAAAGAGAAGCTCTGAGAGCTCAAGGAGGAACTTGTTAAAAAGAATTAGCGAGACAACAAACACTTGTGGAAGTGTGTGTTCATGTGTGTGCTCTGTGTGTGTGTGTGTGGGTGTATATGTGTGTGTGTATGTATGTGTGTAAGTGGTACTCACTGCAGAGCCACACTGACCATCGGCCTACATAATGCCTTTGTTCTGGGAAAATCAAGTGGTCTGCCTCAAGCAGGGGGATCCCACTGAGTTGAGGCTACAGGGAGACAGAGCCGAGAGTCCGTTATCTGTTGATCTTATGACCCATGTTCCTGCTGGTCTGATCTGATGACTTGTCAGCTCGTACCACCAGACCCCAAGTAAGGGGATTACATCGGACATGATCGATAAGCTAGCTCACTGATATGTTTTATCTGATATGATTTTGATCTACTTTCCTACCGATGTGCTCCTGATTCAGTTGGCTTAGTTCATACATGGTTTTTGTTGACCTGCACAAACAAAATGTAGAACCCATTCTTCTTCATAAAATGGAGTCATTTGGACCAAGGCAAAGTGACTATACAGTATGAAGTTATGTAGAACAAGACACAGCCTATCCCCATGGGGATGCACAGAGGGTTTACAAAATACATGCCTACTATGGGCCTTGTAGTCTCAGGGAACATACAGAAGAAACAATGGGAACTAATGAGTTGAAACTTCTTAAATACCAAGGTGACTAGCAAGAGTTGGGACTATCTCTGGAATTTCTTGACTAAGGATAAAGTTAACCTATGTAAGAGCCAAGAAAATTGTGTTTATTCAGAGACTAATTGAGATTGTAATCCAAGCAAACAAGCTTAAACGGCCTTGAAAATGTGCTCTGGAGTTTCCCAAAATGCAACCTTATCCATAGCAAAGGACTTGGAAGTTGTCTGACTTGTGAGTCAGGGCTTCTGATTGGTACTGAGGGCAGTTAGGCTGTCTTGAATGAAATTCTGGGTCCTTTGTGGGGAGGAGTCCCTTGTACTGAAGGTCAGTAGAGTTTAACAGTGCTGCCATGGGTCCATTTGTAGCTAAGGTGAGTATGTCTTGGCTCTGTTCAGCAGTTCAGCTGTGGGTGGGTGTTATCTGCCTCCCAGTACATTTTCAGTGTCCTCCACCAGGGCTGCTGTGTGGTGTGGTGTGTGTGTGTGTGTGTGTGTGTGTGTGCAAATACACATTGGTGCATAAGTGTCTGGGTGCATGTAGAGGCTAGAGATCAACCATTACCCAGTTTCAGCTCTCAGAGTTGTCAAGACTGGACATCCAGTGAGTCCTTGGGGGAACTTTCTGTCCCCCCTTCCCACCACTGGGATCACAGCATAGACCACCAAACCCTTCTTTCTAGAAGGTTGTGGAGAGGAACTCAGGTCTCATGCACAGCAAACATTTTACCAACTAATAGACCTCTTTAGTTCTCATTTCCTATTTATTAGATTTGGGTTTTTTGTTTGTTTGTTTGTTTTTTTCCCTAGACAGGGCTTCTCTGTGTAACCTTGGCTGTCCTAAAAGTCACTCTGTAGACCAGGCTGGCCTCAAAATCACAGATATCTGCTGCCTCTGTCTCCCAAGTGCTGGGATTAAAAGTGTGTGCCAACATAGCCCCCCCTTTTTTTCTTGACTAGTTTCATTGAGATTGTCTGAGGTGGGCTGCCAGAAGGATGAATTGTCATGGTAAGCTAGGCAGGGAGCCAGCAGGCTTTGCAGAATCCTTGGATGCTAAGACCTGGGGTCTGTTGGGAGATGTCATTCTGTAAATATGTGTCTGATTAGTTTCAATAAAGCACTGTTGGCCAATAGGGAAGCAAGATGTGTGGGACTAGGAGTTGAGGAGGATTCTGGGAAAGAGAGACACAGGCAGACACGATGTAGGCTGCCAGAGTAAGAGGTCTGGAACCTTTTCTCCGGTAAGAGAAATACTTAGATTAACAATTATGGGTTAAACACTTAGGTCAGACCTAGCCAATAAGAAACCAAGAAAACAGCCAACAGCTTCATAATTAATATAGTGTCTGTGTATTATTTGGGGGCTAAACCAGCAACGGAACCCAGGCAGGAATCCTGCAACAGGGGTCTGCACTGTTCAGGACACATTCTGGTGAGGTAAATTTGGCTGAGGAAGAGGGCTTACGGTGGGAGACGAGACAGCTAGTGTCCTGGGTCAGTTTGGCTACATTCATCCATTCTCTGGTTACTCAAGACCTAAAGTTGGCATTGCTGGGAAGGTTTTTGGTTTTTAAGATATAAATGTGCAATGGGCTTTTAGAGAAACAGTTTAGTCCAGATAATCTGGGAAGGCTCCAGAAAAGAATGGACCTTTCCCAGAAAAAGCAGTTCTGTCTGTGGCCTGCAGTTTCAGCCTGTACCCGAGAGTCCCAGCTTGCCCCTCCTAGTGGCATGCCCTACTGGTCTTATTTAGACTTGCCTATCTAGGCAAGTATCGCCTGGCCCATAGCCCACAAATCCCTCACAATAAATTTCTTAGTATCTGTTTCCTGTTGGTTGTATTTCTGCGGCTGACCCAGATGAGCACAGGAGTGGAAGGTCACTGATGTAGAGGGCTGCCATGGCTTTGCAGCATTCTGAGATATGCTAAAGCACCCCCAGGCCCACGTCATTCATTTTCCAAGTTCAAGGAGAAGAATGGAGACAACCTCGTTGCCGAAACAATAGTTTGAGGCTCAAGGTAGAAGCAGCAGTTCCCTTTTCCCCAGTTTTGGTTCATAACTCCTCCAGCCTTCCAGTCGCCAGCATGAGTCAGTAGAAGATAAGTCAGGGCAGGCGGGTCCACTGGCTCAGAGTGTTATGAGCGCTGGCAAGGCTGTATGTGAGGGTTAGCTCTGAGCTGCGAAGCACCCTGAGCTGTGAGGTGGCTTAGCAGCAGCCCCTGACTCCTGGTCTCAACCAGGGCCTGTCTCCTCCCTGCTTCTCATCTCATCGTCGATGCTGAACTAAATCATGTGATGTGGAACTGCCTGCCGCCCGGAAGTGGCCATAAAAAGTCAGATTTCCTTCTTAGTCAAAGACTGGGTTCTGGATTCCTCAGGAGGATTTGCTTAGGGAGCTGCTTTGGAGGCTGCTTACTGAAGAGGTGCCTCTGGCTTCCCTCTCTGGGCTGCTAATGCTCACCCTCAACCCCCCCATCGTGTGTGTGTGTGTGTGTGTGTGTGTGTGTGTGTGTGTGTGTGTGTGTGTGTGTGTGTGCGCGCTCATTCCCAATCTTTTGTTTTTTTTCCAAACAGGGTTTCTCTGTGTAGCCTTGGCTGTCCCGGAACTCACTTTGTAGACTAGGCTGGCCTTGGACTCAAAGAGATAGGCCAGCTTCAACCTTCCTCACGCTGTGACCCTTCAATACAATTCCTCATGTGTGGTGACCCCCAACAGTAATATTATTTCATTACTACTTTGTAGCTATAATTTTGCTACTGTTATGAATTATGGCGTAAATATCTTGGTTTTCTAATGGTGTAAAGTGACCTCTGTGAAAGGGTCCTTCAGGCCCCAAAAGGGTGGATACCTCCAGGTTGAGAACCACTGATATATTGTATTATCTCTGTCTAATACTCCCCTCACATTTACTAATGGCCTCGAGTCCTTCTCATGCAAGTGAACCTCGTTCCTGAAGAGAATAATCTATGTGTTAGCTTCCCATTTCTTTTATCATTATAACACAACCTCCAAAAGCCTGGGCATCGTTTCCTCCTTTGTGTTTCTTGGGTAAAGAACACAAATGCTTTACAATAGTCATGACCTGTTTGCACCATTTGGAATGCTTTTGCATCCTGTTTGTGACTTCAACGATACGTCACTGCCTACTAAAGGCTCAGGTCCTTGGCCCAGGGTGTCAGTCCTCCCCTGAAATCCCCAAATGCCCTGTAACCCTGCCTTTTTCAGGCAGTGGAAATATTCTAAAGAGACACTCATGCCCCTTTCTTTGGCGAGCAGGCTATGGAAACAATGGATTCTTAAGAAGTTAGAATTTCCTCCGGAGTCTCCTACTGAGAGCACACAGGGCTGAACCTGGGGAATCAGGAATTTGTCTCTGGAGAAACATTGACATCCTGTGACCTTAGGGAGAGACTTGGAGCTGAGGCCATGGGGGGGCAGAGATGCTGCTGCTGGACCACTTAGTTATACACCTCTGGCTCTCTATCTAACCCTTCACCCTCATGTCAGGACCCCAGTCCCTGCCGGGTTTGGGAGGGTCACTGGATCTCTTTCTCTTTCTCCCCACTGTGGCCACATTAATAAATCTCCCTTTTCTGCCTTTCACTATTAATTTGGCTCTTTTAATTGGCTGATTGAGCACAGGTGGCCAGAACAGGCTCTCGGGGGCTCTGCCTCTCATTGTCTTCATACTGGCTTGACGATACTTTGAAGTGATAGTCTCATGGCTACTACTATTTCCTTATTAGGAGACTCTCTATTCTCCAGTGGAGCAGTACTGACAGCTGGCTATTCTGTCTGACATGTCTCAAACTGAACAAGTGGCAGAGCTCCCTTTCCGTCTTAACCATTTCCAATGGTTCACATTTTGGACAAACCACTTTCATTCCAAAGGTCTTTTCTACGAAGTGAAAGACTCAAAACAACACAAGAACTCTCCCTTGAGAACAAGCCTTTGATTCATTTGATGGAAATCTGGGACTTGCCTGGTGCTAAGGAACAATGCTTGGTTAATTATATTAGAGACCTTGTTTGTTAAGACAGAGACTTGCACCCATGAGCATGTCCCGTTCTTATGGGGTGACTTGAGCAAGTCTGATTACACTTTGCTGGTTTGAGTACTTTCTTTTTTTTTTTTTTTTTTTTTTTTTTTTTGGTTTTTCGAGACAGGGTTTCTCTGTATTGTTTTGGAGGCTGTCGGTCCAGCCTGGCCTCGAACTCACAGAGATCCGCCTGCCTCTGCCTCCCGAGTGCTGGGATTAAAGGCGTGCGCCACCAACGCCCGGTGGTTTGAGTACTTTCTGTGAAGATCATTACCCATCATTCACACCTCTGCATCCCACACCCTGTCTCCTTGTGGCACTTGCTCGCATGAATTAAAGTCCCGTTAGGAGAACACAAAGTGAACCAACCAAGGACACCGGTTATGCTTGCTAGTTAGTTAGTTAGTTAGTTAGTTAGTTTGTTTGTTTCAGTGATATGAGCTAGGGGCATCTGGGAAGAGGGAACTCCTATCGAGAAAGTACCTTGCATCAGATTGGCCTGTAGGCAAGGACATGGGCATTTCCTTGATTAACGATTGATGTGGCAGGCCTCAGCCCACTGTGGATGGTGCCACCCCTGAGCAAGTGATTCTGGGGAAAGCAGGCTGAGCAAGCCACGGGGAGCAAGTCGTTAAGCAACATCCTTCCATGCCTCTGCCTCAGTTCCTCCCTCCAGGTGCCTGCCTTGAGCTCCTGCCAAGACTTCCCTTCAGGCTGTAACTGCAAGCTTCGAGGCTCTTTGTCCTGCTGTGGAATAGAAATGGCACCTTCCTGGGATTTCTCTCTCCTTCCATGTGAAATGAGCTTATTGGGCCGAGTAACCTAACACCTTTATTTCCAACCTGCTTGGTGCTGTGACTCTAAGCATTTCCCCTGGCATGGTGCCTGAGAGACACACTCTGCCTCAAGACCTATTTCACACAGTGATTTCTTACACTGAACAAATTCAGGCACGGATTACTTCTGCCCATCCTGTCAGCTGTGCACAGAACTCCGGGAGGTGCCAACTGTTGGTCCCAATTGTCAGATGAGGAAACTAAGCCTCAGGGAGTACAAATAAGTTGCCTGAGATTCAACAGCTTGACAAGAGGGAAAGCCAAACTATGTGGTCATAAGAAAGGGGTCACTGCTACATAAGTGAAGGTCTCAATTTCTTCTAGGTCCTGTCTGCAGTCTCTGTGTGTCATCTTTTGGAGCCAGACCAGTCACAATCTTCAGTGGCTTCCTGGTGGCTGGAGGCCTGATGCTGAGTAGCCTGGCCCCCAATATCTACTTTCTGTTTTTTTCCTATGGCATCATTGTAGGTAAGGAACTGGTCTCTAACTCCAGTTAGAGTCTTCTAACTCCGTGGCTACATCATTTCACTGTTATCTAGTATTATTATTATATTATTATTATGTTAGTCTGAGGAGTGAAAATGTTCAGCAACACCTTACTTTCTGAGAGTTTTTGCTTTAGGAAATGTCTGCCCATTGGATCAAAGTGCTGGAAGAGATAACCACAATACATTTTGTTGTTGTTGTTCCTTTATGATTTTATGTGTATGGGTGTTTTGCCTGCACAGATGTCTGTGTGCCATGTGTGTACCTGGTACCCCTGGAAGTCAGAAGAGAGCAAAGGACCACTTGGAACTGGAGTTACACTTATGAGCTGCCCTGTGGGTGCTGGGAAATGAACCCAGGTCTTTTGGAAGAGTAGCCAGTAAGACATACAGTTTTTACTGCTGAGCCATCTCTCTAGTCCTGGGATAAGCACACTTTGAGAGTCCCCTCGTGCCCCACCTCAAGGAACAGAAAGAGATTTCAAGCTTTTATCTCTATATTTCAGTAAGGAAAAGTGAGATAGAAGAATGTAAGCTTAGATGATCCTGTGGTCACTTCTCTCTGTTTGCTGCCGGGACTTTGGCAACAGTGAGCAGAAGTTCTGGTAGATGTACAAAGTAGACTTTAAAGATAAGGCATGAGAGTGAAGAAGACGGCATAGTGGGAATGCTTGGTGATGACTTGGTAGCAGATGAGTAAAGAACCTGGACCACTTAATATTTCCTGAAATTCCTTTGTAGTGTATTGTGTTTAAAGGTGTTCAGTGTTAAAAAACCACTAGACTATGGTCATAGGAGTCCATATCTGGTTCTGTTACTTTAATTATGCAAATGAGATACTGGCCATTTCTTATATATTCACCTTAGCAAAAGTAGTATCATAAACTTCTGCCCAGTCCTCACTTAAATGATTTTATCATCAAAGATAGCTATTCTCTTCACTTTTTTTGTGATCTGCCTCCTGAGTGCTGGGATTAAAGGTGTGTGTCACCAAGACCAGCCTAAGATGGAACTGATTCTTATGAGTGTACAATTGTGTTGAGCAACTATGATATTGGGTGTGTTTTGTTTTGATGCAGAATATCCTTATATGGCTCTCAATCTTCCTGGCTCAGTTTCCCTAGTTTTGGGGTTACATATGAGCACCACCACATCTGGCTATACTAACCCTGAATTTTAGTATTGTCTGAGACTGTATCTGTAATGTATATGCCATAAACTTGAGTGAAAAGTGAAAGCTAATACCAAGACAAGGCCGTTTTCAGTACTACATTCTACATAGAGATGATAGGCGTGTACATCTTCAGTGTCTCTTAATCCCGGGTAATGGTGCTGAAGGTCAGAAGTGAGAATTCATGAGTCATGGAATTGGCCATCTCTGTGGAAGGACAGACTTAGACATGGGTAACTTGCCACACAGCAGAAGCAAGGGCAGTATCAAAGAGAAGCCAGTGCCTGGAGCTGGTGGACTGTGTATATATGGGGGGAAAGGCTTCAGGAATCAGTGTGACAGTCTTTAGTGACAGGAAGGGTGTGGCCAGTGAATGGGATGCAGTGGATGACAAGCAGCAACCTTTCTAAAAGATTCTGTGTGTGGCCGGGCGGGTGGCGCACACCTTTAATCACAGCACTCTGGAGGCAGAGGGAGGCGGATCTCTGTGAGTTCGAGGCCAGCCTGGTCTACAGAGCGAGTTCCAGGACAGCCTCCAAAATAATACAGAGAAACCCTGTCTCGAAAAACCAAAAAAAAAAAAAAAAAAAAAAAAAAGATTGTGTGTGTGTGTGTGCACGTGCACACACAAATATGCATGTGTTGCTTGTGGAGGCCAGAGGGGGCGTCATATCCCCAGCAGCAGGAGTTCCAGGTGGTTGTGAGATGCCTGGAGTGGGTACTGGGAACCAAACTCAGGTTCCCTGGAAAAGCAGCAAGTGCTCCAGTCCCCAACAGCAGCTTTTCCTACATTTTTTTTTTTTTTGGTTAAGGAATGCATATGCCACCTGGGAAACTGCCAGTATGTCAGTATGTCAGAGCATCTGATAGAATCCTGATGGGGAAATGTTGCCTCTTCTGTCCTTTTAATTGCAGAAACATGACGTGTTGCACGCCCTTACACAGCCGCTTAGACAGGCAGGATCGTGTTGAAGGTTCATGGAGCCAGGAGGAGGTCAGAGTTCAGATGAGAAATGCTGAGGAGATGAACTGGCAGCTGGAGGGGGATCCTTTGAGCAGCGGCTGTGATAAAGAGCTTAGTGTCTGACTGAGTTATGTAGCACGAATAAATAATACATGACCCAGATACTGATACTGGGGTTCAAACTTCAAGCTGAAGATCAGAAAAGCAAAGCAACCAGCCACTAGCTTCTTACCTCTACCTCAGGTTGAGTGGGCTGATCCTGTCTCTGTGAGCTCTCACCAAGTCTCAGACTGTAACCTCTCCTCAGTGTGGCTGGAGAATGAATGCTCCATCTTTAGTGTGGCTGGAGAATGAATGCCTCCCACTGAATAATGAAGACCCTGCTTCTGTCTTTTATACCCCTCTAGTGCTGGGATTAAAGTATGAGCTTTGATTCGCTCTCAGTTAATCCAGGGTGGTCTTCAACACAGAGATCCGTCTGCCTTTCTCCTGAGTCCTGGGATTAAAGGTGTGTACCACTACCACCACATCTCTATAGCTTGAGGCTGACTTTGCTTTTCTGAATCCTCAGTCAAGCTTTAATAAACCATAAATAATATATCACCACCGAGTTATATGTCCCGCTGAATAACCACAGGATATTCTTCAAAGATCATCTGTGTTTATTGAGCAATTGAAGAGCATAGCAATGGGGACACCTTAGGAAATCATGGGTGTGATTAAGGAAGTCTGTGAAGGCGAGATAAAGGGAATTATATAAGTTGTTTTCAAGAAAAAGTCCTTGGCTACATGGATCTGTTCTAAGGTGGCCTTGGTCCAAGATGAAACTGTCTCTGGGCAGAAGTCCTTGTTGGAAGTGTTTTTTGTGTGTGGTTGCAATGGCATCTATGCAGGTCTCGGTTTGCAGAGTCGTTTGTGAATGAATGGCTTTTGACAGCTCTCACTATCAGATCCTGTCCTTCATGGGCTCCTGGCATTTATTTATTTGTTTTGTTGTTGTTGTTGTTGTTTTATGGCTTGATAAAAATAATTGCATTTTGATCCTATTTTCAGAGTGGGGTCACACACACACACACACACACACACACACACACAAACAAACAAGATTCTGGAGTTGCTGTCTCTTCCAGATGTAGATGAACAGGCACATACTAGATAAAAAGAATCAGTAGGTCACTGAATTGCATTTCCTGTTCACCTGTTTAAACAAAGGGGACAGTGACATGTCACTTGTGCTCATGCCTTAAATACTCAGCAGTATTAATTGTGTCTCTTCATTGTCCATGGTACTGCGTTACATCAGGACAAGTATGCATTGTAGTTTATACATTCTCTACAACCTCCTTTCCCTCCGCTCCTCCCATCAGTTGTCTAGACAGTTTCACTAAACTCTAGAAGCCCCAAATGAGAGAAAACATGATGATCCTGACATTGGCTGAATTTGCCTAAATATGGTTATTTGATGTTAAAACCATTATGCTCCCCTCAGAAGATTTTTTACTGCTTGAATTTGATCAAAGCTGACTGGCCACCAGATAATGTTTTAAGACAATAGTTTGGAAACTTAACATCATATTGGACTTTTTATTTTCTTCCTTAGGACTCTAAGGAACTTCAGGTGGTACATTTATTTAGTGTATTGCCCCTTAATATATTATGTAAAAAATATAATACATTTGGGGCTGGGGCAGTGTCTCAGCATTTAAGAGTACATACTGCTCTTGCAAAGGATTCATATTCAGTTCCCAGCACCCAGAATGGGCAGTTCACAGCTATCTGTAACTCTACCCCTAAGAGACTGGATCCCCTCTTCTGGCCTCCACAGGCAACAGGGACCAACCAGTTATACAGACATAGTATGCCAGCATACCCAACATATAGCAGCAACACACAGACATTTAGAATACACATAACTAAAAATAAAATAAATCTAAAAAATAAATTAATTAATAATTTAAAAATAAGATTTATGGTTTGTTTTGTTTTTCCAGACAGGGCCTCTCTATATAGCACAGGCTATCCTAGAAGTCACTATGTAAACCACACTGTCCAAAGTCACAAAGAGTGCTGGGATTAAAGACATGCACCACCACTTATGTGTATGTGTGTGTGTCTGCATGAATGTATGTGCATTACATGTGTGCGGCTGCTGTAAGAGGCCAGAGGGTGTCAGATCTCCTGGAATAAGAGTTATAAGTAGTTGTGAGCTGCCTGGTGTGGTTGCTGGGAACTATACCCAGGTCCTCTGTGAGAGCAGAGAGTGTTCTTAACCATTGAACTCTCTCCAGCCCCTTAAGAGATAAAGCACTTGTTTATCAATCCACTTAAAGGTCACAGACTCACTGTATGTTGACAGCAGTAACAGGTTTATCGTGAAAAGTAAATTATATTTTCTGAGACAAAACAAATTCAGTGACTGGCATGCTTGTGTTGTCAGAGGGGTTTTGGGTGCTGGGGTTAAACCCAGCACCTTGCATGTGTACTAGAGAGGTACTCTACCACAGAGCTGTCCCCAGCCATGGGAAGAGTGATTGTGTCTTTATGTTCACAAGTCACTTTAGTTTTATCACAGTTGTGACAAATGTCCGAGCAAATATCACATATGTGGAAGGATTCCCTTTGGCTGGAATTTTTAGAGGTACCAGCCCATCATGGTGGAGAAGTCAGGAAGCAGAGAGTGAATCCCTGTGTTAGTGACTTCTCCCCTTTGTTCTTCTGTGCCCCAGCTATGGGTATACCATCCACATTCAGGCTGGTGTCCCCCTCCCCTTAGTTAGCCCCTTCAGGAAAGGGCCCACACAGACCAGAGGTGTGCTTAACTATTCCCTTAGGACGGTTTGGTTTTCGGTATTTCGAGACAGGGTTTCTCTGTGTAGCAGCCCTAGTTGTCCTGGAACTCACTCTGTGCACCAGACTGGTCTTGAACTCACTTGCCTCTGCCTCCCAAGTGCTGGGATTAAAGGTGAGCACCACCACCAGGCCTGGAAACCATTCAGTGCTTCTTAGTCCAATTGAGTTGAGTCAGGATTTACCATCCCAGTCCAGTTTCCTAGAAGACACATGTTCTCTGTGTCTATCTTTACCCAGCTGCTACAGTGAGTGTTTTTGATGGAAGCATCTGAGGAAAATATGAACTGACATGCACCAAAAATATATTTGGAAAAGGAAAGACTTTTCCTTTAAGATTTATTTTATTTAGCTGGGCAGTGGTGGTATACTCCTTTAATCCCAGCACTCAGGAGGCAGAGGCAGGTGGATCTCTGTGAGTTTGAGACCAGCCTGGTCTACAAAGCTACACAGAGAAACCCTGTCTCGAAAAACCAAATATGTGTGTGTGTGTATGTACTTTTTTAAATTGCATATATATGCCATATGTGGTTGTGGACTCATGAGTGCAGGTGCCCACAGTGGCCAGCAGAGGGAGACAGATCCCTGCAGCCTGAGTTGGGCAGTTGTAGGCTGCCTGATGTGGGTGCTGGGAACTGGACTCAGGTCCTCTGCAAGAGCAGTGTGCTCTCTGAACAGCTGAGCCATCTCTGCAGCCCCAGAGAAAGTTTCCCCCACCCAAGTAACTATATAATATATTTCTTTTTGATACGGTAGCAGAACTTGGTAGGAGATGGTTTCCCAAAGATGAACTGTGATGCAGAATCGGATGCACATTGGCACCCTTCCATCCTTTGTGATACCGGATCCGTTTGATATTCTGTTTATTCAAACCCGATTATAGAACACCATAAATTGCTTGACTGAAAAATATTGGCTTTCTAAGAAATAAAAGAACCTCAAAATGCTAACAGATTTTGTTATAAAACACCCAAAGTCATTTTGTTATTGTCACTGTCTTAGTGGGTGTGGTGGTACAAACAGGCTGTGCCAGTACTGGGGGGGTCACACAGGAGGAATGGAGGTTTGAGGCCTTGCAATGTGTGACTGAGCACTGAGTTCCCAAAATGCTTACTTGTGTGTTTGCTGAAACCAAACCATAGCGTCTGCTTATTGAGCGTCTAGGTAGCCGTCTAAGTAATGACAATGACCTTAGTGCACTTAATGAGTTAGTGGTTCCTTTTCAGTCAGTGGCTTTTGTGTTATTTTCAGAGTGGTCGTCATGACCAGATAACATAGTGGAAAACGGTAAAAATTAAGCCAAATGAGAAGCTAACGGAGAACAGGCAGATAGTGCCCGATTTTACCAGGATTCATAGGGATTAAAAGGTAAAAACCAACAAGCTAGACAAGACCATGAGACAATTCTCACCCTTGGGACTCAAGAAGACACAGGTAGCTGCAAGATTGCTTCTATTTGTGGAAAATTTCAACTCTACAGGAAAACAGAGAATACCATTGCAAGGAACCATACGCCTGATTCTTTTCATACTCACGGGTATCTTACTGTATTTGGGTCCTTTTTTGTTTTCTCTCTCTTTCTCCAAAATTTCTTTAGCTGAAACTAAATAGTCACTGTATTTTACTGTTACACAGGATACAAAGCTGCTCTAAGGATAGGGACTTACCGATACAAGCTTCAGGATGCTGGGATGATGACTGAGAATTGAAGCAGTCTCTTGAGACTCTTTGTTTTGCTGACTGAGGTGTGGAAGATAAAGTCAAGCAGAATAGCTTGGTGTGAGAAGGAAGAGCTGGAGAGATGGCTTAGTGGTTAGGGTCACTGTCTACTCCTCCAGAGGACGTGGGTTAAATTCCCAGCACCCACGTTGGGGTAACTCATAACCACCTGTAACTGCAGCTCCAGGGGATCCAATGATCCCTTCTGGCCTCCACGGGCACCTATACACACACATACACACTCACACACACTCACACACTCACACACACACACACACACACACAAATAAAAGCAAACTATATATATCTTTAAATTGTTAAGCACCCCGGAGGAAGAGCAGAGTCACTGTGCAGACTGGAAGAGACACAGGCCTGAGGTGCAGGCCTGATTAAGTTTTGGTATATGGTATACGGCTTAACCATTTCCTCAGACTTCTTCTTGTGTCTCCAATTACACGTCAATTATATTTTTTTCCCCACTGTTTTTCACGACAGGCTTTCTCTGTGTATCCCTGGCTGTCCTGAAACTTGATCTGTAGACCAGGCTGGCCTGGAATTCACAGAGATCTGACTGCCTCTGCCTCCAGAGTGCTGGGATTAAAGGCGTACACCACCACTGCCCAGCTTGCTTTTCCATTTTCAAATTATTCTTTAATACTTCAGAAATCGAACTAATTGTTTTTTACTTGACTCTGATATTAAGGTGGGCGGAAAAATAATGCTTCTCAAAGTCCATTGAGTTCCCAGTACTGCCAGAGGGTCTGGGGACTCTGATGCTTGGGCAGCTGGTTCCACAGCATCCTAGTGGGGACCCTTCATTTTCTTCTTTTGCATTGAAATTGTGCACCTGTCTGAATTCCTGCTGTCTTCTTACATACAGGTCTCGGGTGTGGCTTGTTATACACTGCGACAGTGACCATTACATGCCAGTATTTTGACAGCCGCCGCGGCCTCGCACTTGGCCTAATTTCAACAGGTATCGTTTCAAAATTAAGTACAGTATTGTCACAAGTTAACGTTCTAAACAGAGCGAAGATGTGTGAGACACGTGTGTGCAACTAGCCTCTACCCAGCTACCAGTCAGAAAGCAAAATGGTTTTATACCACACTCCTAGAAGGAAAGTTTGTTTTCTACCGTAAATATGGGAATAGCTCTCAAAAAACCCTAAGATCCAACCAGCATTTGGAAGGTAGAGGCAGGCAGATCACTCTGAGTTTGAGGCCAACCTGGTCTACAGAGCAAGTTCCAGGACAGCCATGGATACACAGAGAAACCCTGCCTCAAAAAAAAAAAACAACAACAACAACAACAAATCAAACAACAACCACAAAACCCAAACAAACCTCCAAGATCCATAAACAGTAGACCTAAGTACTAGACCTGGGTGTGATGGTTGCTGAGGAAGCTTCTAAGCCCAAGGTGTTCTCAGCTATTTGTGGGTGAAAAGCATAGAATCCTAAAACCACCTGCTCTGGGAAGAAGGAAAACAGAAAGGAAACCAGAGCTGCAGCCACTGTCAGAGTCTGAGGTCAGCCTTGCCACAGAGTGTAGAACCTACTACCGTCTAAGGTCCTGCTCTCTGAACATAACTCACTGACCTAGCTACACATCCCGGGAACACACACTCTTATTGCCCCTTTAATAACTAACAGATGATCACTGAAGGTGTAAAATAGCATATAAAATATAAATCAAGCCATGTGTGGTATCCTGTGTCTTTAATTTCACACAGGTCTGGGGTAAAAGGCTTGTGACTGAGAAGCTAGCCTGGGCTATATGTGGTGAGAACCTGTCTCGGACAAACAAAGAAAAACAAAATTATATTTAAACATAATTTCTGGCATCCTCCAGGTATTTTGGGGTGGTAGTTCATATTTTAGATAGATTTTTAAAAACTGTTAAGTTAGTATCAATTTCTGTGGTCAATATTTTATCAGTCTATTTAGGTCAATGGTTCTCAACCTGTGGGTCTTGACCCTTCTGGTGGATCGAATATCAGATGCCCTGCATATCAGTTACTTGCATTATGATTCATAACAGTATCAAAGTTACAGTTATGAAGTAGCAAAGAAAATAATTTTGTGGTTGGGGGTCACCACAGCATGAGGAACTATATTCTACAAGAGCACAAAGTGTTTCATTGTAAATTTTAAATTGAAAATGAATTTTTTTTCATAAATATATTCTGATTATGATGCCGTTTCCCCCCTCCATCATCCTAGATCCTTCCCACCTTCCCAGATCCACATCATTTCTTGTTCTCTCTCTTTAGAAAACAACCAGGTTGCTGGGCAGTGGTGGCGCACTTGGGAAGCAGAGGCAGGTGGATCTCTGAGTTTGAGCTCAGACAAAGCATTATGAGACAAATACAAAAACAAAACAAAACAAACAAACAAACAAAAGCTCCAAAAACACCATTGAGTTCATTTTGTGTTGGCCATCTGCTGGAGAAAACTAATTTTTCACTTGTGAGTAACCAATTGGAGCTAGCTTCTGGGTTAGGGAAGGGGGCTGTGTCCACTCTATCATTGCTAGAGAAAGTGTTCTGTTTTTTCTTTTTCTTTTTCTTTTCTTTTTTTTTTTTTTTTTTTGGTTTTTACGAGACAGGGTTTCTCTGTATTATTTTGGAGGCTGTCGGTCCAGCCTGGCCTCGAACTCACAGAGATCCGCCTGCCTCTGCCTCCCGAGTGCTGGGATTAAAGGCGTGCGCCACCACCACCCGGTGAGAAAGTGTTCTTAATGGCCATCTCTCCAGCCTCCTGTCTGGAGACTTCTGTCACTCACTTGCTGGTTAATGTTGGACAAGATACTTCACTGCTCATTGTCTCCATTTTCTGAACTGTAAAACAGGAACAGTAATTTCAGACATGACACTGGGCTATTGGGACTGTTAAGGCACACACAGACTGTAGGATAGCTAGTGATTGTAACTGGGACCAAATGTCCTGTCTCGTCCAAATTTACTGGTGCTGAAGACACTGGGAATTTCTTGCTGTCATGAGACTTTTGCTTTACACTCGGTCTACAGGGCAGGGCAGAGGGGCTGCACTGTACACGGCAAATGGAAAGTGCAACACCCATGGGCAGTTGTGATTTGGAGGGTTTTTAGTATCAACCTATGGGAGCAAGGTGAGTTTAAAGCAGAGTCAGGCATGAATTCCCCTTCACCTAAGGCAATCACAGCCAAACAGAGTCATGGTAGTTCTCCAAAAGAAACCATGAATCAATTGCTTGAAACTTGGCCACCTAGTTGGAAGGGGTAAAATGTAAAAATATAAGCACATTACAAAGGCTTTAGCCTGGTGTGGTGGTGCACATCTGCCATTCCAGCATTTAGGAGGTTGTGAGTTCAAGATCAGCTCTGGGTCCATTGGGGGCAGGGCACCTGATTCAAAACAAGCAGCAACAAAACCCTGAAGGTTGTGGGCTGTGGCCTTTCTTGGTGGTGAATAGGGGCTAGAAAACTGGCCTCTGTCCTAATCTGCTTCGCTCTCTGTTTTTGTACATTGCATGAACGTGGATTTTTTATTTTTACCCTACGTTTAAAAGTGAAAAGACCTTTTCGTAATGTGTGAATGTTATGGAGAAACTGAATGTCCATAGACATTCTGTCCGTCTGCTGTCTGTTGTTTTTGTTGAGTACCGGAGACAGACAGGTATTTATTGTATGGTTCCTGGTGTCTTAAATGCTTGTCCTCTGACCTTTGACTGGAAAGCTTGAAACAATTGTACCGATGCGCTAATTCGTGCATGTGTGTGTCTCTGGCTGTTTGAGGCCCCCTCCGTAGCAGTGCAAAATCAAGACTCAGATGAAAGTCTAATTAGTGTTTTTTTCTTACTTTACTCTCTACACCGCCTGTTTTTCAATTAAGATGTTCTTGTAGACAATTAAAAATTAGAGCTGTGCGGTTTCCAACACACCACGAGGAAGCTCTAAAATCACTTCCCGTTACCCTGAAGAATGGCTGCATCCTTCTAAGTCACGGCCATGTTCTCATGGGACACAGGCTGAGGTACGGAGTTTGACCTGCCCTGTCACACAGCGTGTCGTAGCTGTTAATGACTTCGGTTAAGTGATTTGATATAGTTCATGATATTGACAGATGGACTTTGATGATGAGCAATGGCAATTCTTCTTCAAGATCAAAACAGAACTTAGGACTTTAAATTTCATTTCTCTCTCTGTGTGTGTGTGTGTGCATGTGATTGTGAGCATACATACCCACTTGCCATAGCTCATGCAGAGGTCCCAGGAAAACTTGCTGACACTGGTACACTTGTGCCAGCATGTGAGTCACAGGCATTGAACTCAGGTCCTCAGGTGTGGTGGCAGGTGTCTTTCTCTTCTGGTCCATCTCTCTGCCACAGAAACAGAACTTTTAAATTATCAAGAATGCATTTAAGGGCCGGGCGGTGGTGGCACACGCCTTTAATCCCAGCACTCGGGAGGCAGAGGCAGGTGGATCTCTGTGAGTAAGAGGCCGGGCTAGTCCGACAGCCCCCAAAACAATACAGAGAAACCCTGTCTTGTAAAAACCAAAAAAGAATGCATTTAAGGGTCTGGAGAGCTGAGCTAGTGGTTAGAGAGTATGGCCACTCTTCCAGAGAGCCCAAGTTCAATTCCCAGCATCCATGCGACAGGACACAACCATCTGTGACTGGGGTTCCAGGGGATCCAATGCCCTCTCTGGCCTCTCCAGGCACCAGGCTCACAAGTGGTACACAGATGTGTGTTCAAGCAGAACATCCACATGCAACAAATGTAAATCCTTTAAAATGAACATGCTTAGTGTCTACTGGTGTGCTACCTTATGAGAATCTGTAGAGCCTATTAGGCAAAAGTCACGAACAGGCAGTTCATGGTGATGAACACAGAACAGCTGTCTTGAAGTTACCCGTTCTGCTTCATTCTTTGTTTTCTGAAGGCTCGTTAGCTGTTAAAGCACGCACCACTTCTCAAAGACAGGGATGGGATTGAATTCGTCTGTTATTTTTATTTCATGTGTCTGGATGTTTTTCCTGCGCATCACATCCAGACGGCGCCCGAGGGGAGCAGTAGGAGGCATTGGCTTCCCCCCTGAAACTGGAGTTATAGATGGTTGTGAGCTGTCACGTGGGTGCTGAGAACTGAACCTCGCTGGGTCCTCTGCAAGAGCAGCCAGCGCTCTTAACCCCTGCATCATATCTTTGCTCCTGGTTATAATCTTTTTTCTTTTGATGAGATGAGTTTTTAGAGCATGAGTGCTATGATCATCTAACTCAAAATTTAAAAAAAAACTAACCTGTCTACATTTTCCTGCTGTTTCATATGACATTTCCCAGTGATGTTTAAATTTTTTAAATACTCAACTTTAAAATCAAAAATCAAAACAAGAACCCAACAAGAACAGCATAAATTAAACAGCACTGCAGTGTGCTTAGGGAGATGGATGCTGAAGAGGAGGTGTTTAATCCCTGTGTGATGTATAAGCCAGCATACTGTAATTGAAACACTCCATCAAACCCCACTTCAGTCTTTTCTCATACTTCTATTAATGCACGAAGAATACAAATCACCCATTCTAGTGATTCGGGAATGAATTTAAATGATCAGACCATTATTAATATCCTGAAACTAATCTATAGCTGCCATTTTAAAAATGAAATGTAAAGATTTGCTTTTGCAAAGGCAATAAAACATAGCATGGAGCCCAGTACATAATAAACATAAACTGTAGTCAAAGATAGTATTTGTTAAGAATAAAAGGCCCTGCAAGATGATTCAATGGGTAAAGGTGCATGCTGCCTAGACAGCTGACCTGTGTTCATGTCCTGAGACCCACAGATGTCCTCTGACCTCTACACATACAAGCGCGCATGCACACACACACACACACACACACACACACACGCTGTGGAAAGTGTATGGTTATATAAAAGACACGCTAAATAAAAATTGTAATTAAAAAATTCTAAAATAACCAAAGTCTGTGGGTTTCTATAGTCAGGCTGACTGAATTTCATTGTTTACAACACTGAGATCTGTGGTAAATTTCTCAAGCTCTCTAGCCTTCATTCATTATATCTGTAGATTGGGGTTATAATAGGATGTACTCAATAGGACCATTAAAAGTAATAAATAAGATCATGTATCTAAAGGACACAACGGGAAGCTGGGGACATGACTCAGAAGGTAAAAGCATGCATGGCTCTCACAGAGGACCTGAGTCCCCTTATCAGGCAGCTCACAGCTACCTGTGATTCTAACTACAGGGGAGCTGATGCCATCTTTGGTCTTGGTGGGCACCCACTCCACACAAAGACACATACAAATAATTAAAAAATAAGATGAATCCTGGCAGGACTGAAGAGATGGCTCAGTGGTTAAGAGCATCGGTTGTTCCTGTAGAGGACCAGACTATGGCTCCCAGTACCCACATGGCGGCTAACATCTGTCTCTAACTCCAGTTCCAGGGGATCCAATGCCCTCTACTGGCTTCCACGGGCACTGTGCATATGTGGTGCACATATAAACCAACCATGCAACAAAAACTCGCATACACATAAAATTAAAATGTAGAAATCCTTAAAAAAATAAATCCTGCTGGGCAGTAGTGGCACACACCTTTAGTCCCAGAACTTAGGAGGCAGAGGCAGGGGGATCTCTGTGAATTCGAGGTCAGCCTGGTCTATAGATCGAGTTCCAGGACAGGCTCCAAAGCTACAGATAAACCCTGTCTTGAAAAAATAAAATTAGATAGATGACAGATATAGATAGATAGATAGATAGATAGATAGATAGATAGGCAAATAAATAAATCCTAAGTACAAACAGGGTCTTTGGATGTTGATTCTGAAGATGGATGTCCCGTCAGTACTGCTGTCTTGTGTAATTGTGATGCCACCAGTGCGTGTTCCAAGGCTATAGAAACGATCATACTGAGACTGAGAGGTTCTTGTTCTCTTGTAGGTTCCAGCGTGGGCCTTTTCATCTACGCCGCTCTGCAGAGGTTGCTGATAGAGTTCTATGGCCTGGATGGGTGCCTACTTATTGTGGGCGCTTTGGCTTTAAACATACTAGCCTGTGGCAGTCTGATGAGGCCCTTGCAGTCTCCCAACTGTCCTTTTCCTGAAAAAATAGCTCCGGAGAATGTTCTGGAGAGATACTCCATCTACAACGAGAAAGAGAAGAGCCTGGAAGAAAATATGAACATCTTGGACAAGAGCTACAGTAGCGAAGATAAATGCAACAGCACTTTGCCCAATGGCGACTGGGGACGAGGGACTCCTAAAAGCCCCACAGAGGTAGCACTCGCCAAGGAGCCTGAGCCGTACAAAAAGAAGGTTGTGGAACAGACTTACTTTTGCAAGCAGCTTGCCAAGAGGAAATGGCAATTATATAGGAACTACTGCGGCGAGACGGTGTCTCTTTTTAAAAACAAAGTCTTCTCGGCACTTTTCATCGCCATCCTGCTTTTTGACATCGGAGGGTTCCCGCCATCGCTACTCATGGAGGATGTAGCGAGAAGTTCCAACGTGAGGGAAGAGGACCTCACCATGCCACTCATCTCTATTATCGGCATCATGACAGCCGTGGGCAAGCTTCTTTTAGGCATCATGGCTGACATCAAGTGGGTCAACACCTTGTATCTCTATGTAGCTACCCTGATCATCACCGGCCTGGCCTTGTGTGCCATACCCCTTGCCAAGAGTTACGTCACCCTGGCGATACTTTCTGGGATCTTGGGTTTTCTTACTGGTAATTGGTCCATCTTCCCATATGTGACCACAAAGACTGTAGGGATTGACAAATTAGCCCACGCCTATGGAATACTAATGTTCTTCGCGGGACTTGGGAATAGCCTTGGGCCACCGATTGTTGGTAAGATACCCGTCTTCAAGTCGACTCAGTTTCTTCTTCCTCACGTGACATTTCCAGATAGAGAGGTTCTCAATAATAGCACAGATTTGCACAAAGTAAAGGGAATTATCTCACAGTAGTTTATTCAAGATTATTTTGCCAGGGCTGGGAAGAGTGTTTGCCTAGCATGCAGGAAGCCCTAGGTTTATTTTCCAGCTTTGTCTGGTAGCTCTCGCCTGTAACCCTCGAACTTGGGAGGATGTAAAGTGTGAAGTTCAAGCTCATCTTTGGTAAATAGTGAGTTTGAGACTAGCCTGGGCTACATGAGACCCTGGCTCAGTCACACACACGCACACACACACACACACACACACACCTGTGATATAGTTAAGATTAAGCTGATATACTTCCTCTGGATTTATGCCCATTCTTTATTTGGAAGAAACTTAAAATACGTGAAATTCACTTTGTTTTCATCACTGTCTTTTCAGGTTGGTTCTATGACTGGACACAGACCTATGACATCGCCTTTTATTTCAGTGGCTTCTGTGTCCTGTTGGGGGGCTTCATCCTGCTGCTTGCCTCCTTGCCCTGTTGGGACACATGCAACAAGAAACTCCCTAAGCCAACGCCAACAACCTTTTTCTACAAAGTTGCCTCTAATGTTTAGAGGGATATTAAAAGGCATTATTTTCTCTATTTTCTACTTTATACCATATATATATATACATATATATATACATACAGACTCATATGTATACACACACACATATATATGTACACATATATATATGTATGTATGTACATACCAAATTGTTAGGCAGATTTCCTAGAGTCAAGATCTTATAGCAAAACTTCCGCTGACTCTGAGGGAAAATGTACTTTTACATACCCTGTTTTTATGTACTGTGTGTATAACCTCTACCCTTGAGTTCCCCTCCCCTGAGAGGTGGGACCGTTCTGTTCCATCATCATTTGTGAGTTCAGGATGTCAAACCATTGACTAGCCTCACCAAGTTTTCTCTGGGTGAAGAAGCTTAGGCTCTCTCTATGAGCTCTACCACGAGGCACTCAGGGATCCTGTCTTAAACCATGCACTCCAGGCAGAATGTTTGTCAAGACCGCTAAGGAATAATTGCTGTCTCCTCTATGTGGGACCTGCAAGTCCAGAGAAGACACTCAGCCATTTCATTTCCAGAAAGGAAAGTGGTGGTTACAACATCACCAAGACTTTGAAGACCTTAGACAAAATATTTTAAATTGCAGGTGCCCATCTTTGTCAGTTTTCTATTTTATTGTCCCTGTTGGAACCCTGTGGGGTGTTTGGTGTCCACAGTAGGAGAACCTGTTCAGTTCCTCCAGCAGCCTTTCTGTGTGGCTGGATCATAGGACCTCGCTCCCTGGTGTTGGCCAGCATCCACTCTGATGATGTTTCCTAAGAGCTGCTGATATGCCGGTTTCCAGATTGGAAACACACCTTTGAACCATTCCGTCTGGCAAGTGGGAAGCATCCATTTGCTTTGAGCACTGTGGGAATGGGTCGCAAGGCCTTGCATGTCTTCCAAATGAAGCCCATGGTGGTTTCTCTTGGGCTTTTTTACTATTGCATTTTAGCTCATGGACAGTGCTTTAGAGAGAGAAAAAAAAAAAAGATGTCCTGTGTGTCTGTTAGACGTGGGAAAGGCCAGGGTAAAGAGAAATGGATACTCTCATCCAACCTTACTTAATCCCAAGAACATTGGAGGGAAAAAACAATGTTTAATAAATAGGAATGGGTTCAACTTCGGGTTCATTTAACAGATGGGTTTGCTCTATAGGAATGGTTTTCAATTTGGCTATGTTTCAGGATCCCCAATAGATCTACCCTTCAGAAACTTAAGTGCCTGGTGCTATGCTTTTCATTTTAATTCTACACATTGGCCCGAGCATCTCTATTTTAATGAACTCTGCAGAGATTCTGGATACTGGGCCCTGGGGTCAGCTGAAAACTGGCAACAGTGGTGCTGAAGCTTGGGGAGCAGTGAGGGCATAGCAGGTGGGGAGTTCATTGGTCACCAGACCACGAGGGGAAAGAATAAACAAAACAGATTGGCAGTAGACAAACATTTTCTTTTCTTGAGTAAAAGAAAGAGAGAGAGAGAGAGAGAGAGAAGCCATGAAGTCAAGTATTTTAAGACAGTCAAGGGTTCTTTAAGTAAGGGCCTGCTTCCTGTTGTGCCAGCATTGTCTTTTCATTTTTTAAAGAATCTGTGAGATTGGTACAGCTACATTGCCTTCCTTTGCAGGGACCTGAAGCACTTTATTGCGATGGCCCCCGTAGCGCCCCCCTGAGGTCAGTAAGCAGCTATGTCCTGTGTCATCAACCAAGTAGAAAGATTTCATAGTGAAGTCCGTCCCGCTCAGTCATGCAATAACGGGGCTCAACACACATGTGACTGGTGCGCCACTTTCAGACTTCTGGAAAGTTCTCTGTACCTCATTCTTTAGTCTATCAAAGTTAGTAAACAAGACATAACTCTAGCTCGAGGGGATCGGACACCTTCTTCTGTCTCCCACGGGTACCTGTGTACTGGTGGCACACACACACACACACACACACACACACACACACTAAAAATAAAAAAGAAATTTTAAAAATTTATAGCTATGATTTTTTGTTTGGTTGGTTGGTTTGTTTTTCGTGGCAGGGTTTCTCTGTGACGTTGGAGGCTGTCCTGGAACTAGCTCTTGTAGACCAGGCTGGTCTCAAACTCACAGAGATCCGCCTGCCTCTGCCTCCCGAGTGCTGGGATTAAAGGCGTGTGCCACCAATGCCCAGCTAACTATGATTTTTAAAAAAGCAATAAATAAATAAACCTCATATGAGTTTATATTCAAGGTCATGTTTTGGTCAATATTGTGTTCAAGATACCCAATAACCTGAAAGGTTTGACTTCACTGATGACTTCTGCATCCATCAGTATTGACAATTGCCCTGATGTGTTCCTCCCATCGATGCTGCCTGTATGCACTAGCCTCTGTCTGGGGAGTGAATTTCAAGTTATGATGAAATATTTTGGTTTGTCTTTCCTCGGCGCATTGTTTTCCTTCCCCAAAACAGTGACACTCCATGGGAATGTAAGTACATACATTATTGGATATAGTTTAGCTCTAGACCGAACCAGGGTGACTCAAAAGCCAATGTACCGAACTGCTTTGACTGCTGGGTTGGAAGAGCAGGATCCTGGCCTTGAGGAGAAGAGAGTCTTATTCATGAGCTCACCAGTCATACAGAACTTGCCGTTTGAGTCAGGGTCTCCTGGTATTGCTAAGACTGGTCTGGGCTCCATGGCTCCAATGCAGTCTGTCCCAGTGTCTCCCACAGCTGCGATGACAGGCATGCAGCTGCCACCGTGTGCAGCTTTGTCATCTCCTCCGTGTGTTTGTCTCTCACACCAGCCCCGTGGTGTGGTAACCATGACTTTCCTCTTATAATCCAAAATGGAACTTTCCTGATGCGATTGCTCAAACTAAGAGCACAGAAAAGTCATTTCCAAGAGCAGAACCAGGACTCACTTTGTGGAGATTAAATCTCTCCCTTTGATTCCTAAGGAGGGTGCCCAGCCAGGGTGTTTCTGCCAAACCAAATGTTTCGGTGGAGAAGTTATGTAAATAGTAACCCCAGGTCTGCCCATTTTCCAAGAACGAGCATTTTTAAATGAACTTCATGAATTTACTCTGACCCGAAGCGAGTCTTCTGTGAACAGAGAGATACTTCCGGGCATTGGAAAGGCTGTGGGCTGAGTGTAGAAGCTCGTGGACTTGGGGAAATTTGTCTATAGTGCCCCTGCCTACTACTGTTTAAGGGTCCTCAACTGTCTGTTCTCTGAGGAGCCAGGGACTGGGCTAATTCTCTCCGGTGTTTAAAGTCCCAGTGAGGAACAATCCCTTAGGAATCAGCACTGGTAGGTCATGACTTTGTGTGTGTGTGTGTGTGTGTGTGTGTGTGTGTGTGTGTGTGTGTGTGTGTGGAGGGAGAGGAAGGAGGGAGAAAAGGAGGAGGGAAGGAGGAAGGAAGGAGGGAGGGAGTGTAAGGATTCAGGCATTATACTCGCCAGCCCTGGTCACCTGGCAGAATGCACTCAGCAGTACTCTGTTAGCCCAGGCTTCCATGACTACTAGTCTGCATGTTTAGTGCAAAGGACCCCTTTAAAAGAAAGACCCCGCCCACTTACGTTCACCCCTTCTCTTTCCCCGCTGTTCCCCGGGGCAGACAGCACTTTCCCTGTCTCCCTCTTCTCTTGTGTCCTCTGTCTCTGTGTCTCTTCACCTCTTTTCTCTTTCCTTCCCTCTGCCTCCCCTTTCTAATAAAACTCCTCACTTAGCTCTGTCTGCCTGGCGTGTCTGCCCCTCACCTTGGCCATCGGTACCTGCCATGGAATCTGCCAAAGTTCTACACGCTTTATTCCAAAGGGGGGGCATTGATAGAGAAGGTCTGTGGCCTCAGAGTCTCAGCTGAAACCAATCAGCACAGGATTGTGCATGCCTTGTGTGCGCGTGCACACACACACACACACACACACACACACACACACACACACACACAGAGTGTGATGTGTTGGTACCCGAAACCAGCACAGGATTATTCTTACATTGGAGGCTCCAAGAATGAAGAAGAGAGTCCCTCCCTTTTACTTAGAATGAGCCTTTGCCCCGAGTTCAGGAGACACAGTTAACTTTGGCAGTGAATTTTCTCTTCCTTGATCACCATCTTGGAATCTTTGTTACATAGTTGTATCTGAAGGATGAGACCCCTCTTTGAGGAAGAAGTGACCCCCAGCTAATGAAAACCCTCAGAGGTCTGTGAACACATGTTAGGTAACATTTGGGATGCCACGCCTACATCCTCAACATCCATGACCAGATGGCCCATGCTCAGTCTAGCTCAGTCCCTGTGTCTGGGGGACCATGAGCATGTTATTGGCTTCTCAAGATGCTGTTTTGCTCTTACAAATGACACCATCGGGCTATCCTGAGGATTAAGTAAGAAGACACTAGGGGGTGACTGGAAAGCCACAGATGCCCGTTAATGCTGACTGTTTTTACTCTGCCTGTATTCTCAAGAGCACGGCTTCTCCCGTGGGAGGCAGCGCGTGTCCCTGGGCACAGGTGGGTAATGTTTGCACTGCAGAGTTTCACTTAGAAAAGGGAACAAGGAGCCGTCTATTGTCCCCTGCTTGTAGGACTGCCTTCCTCCTGCCCTCCCCCTAGCTCGCGCTTGTCAAAATCCTCCGGAGACAGGAGTCATGACTCAGCGCATTTCCCAGGCTCTGCCATTCAGAAGCTCTGACACAAAACAAAGCAAACAGAACCAAACACCGGCTGTTCCTCCGCAAATCAAATAGGATCCACTGTGTAAATTGAATTGGTATGGGAGCGTGGACTTCTGTTTATTTTTCTTCAAAAGCCTTCACGCCAGCTGCTCAGGAAGGTGGGCCTGAACTGGGTAGGGAGCCGAACCGATCTGATGTGTTTACTGAGCCCTAATTGCCTACAGCTCTGAGTCCCCACCCCGCCCCTTTCCAGGATGCTTTTGTGATTTGCTGTTGAGGGAATGAATGCAACTCTAGGCCAGGACTTCTGGGATCTGGCTCATGATCTCTCAGCTGCCTGAGTTTGCTTCCTATCACTTACTCATTTACCGCACACTTTCTATTTTT